GTTTGGCAGTCAATGTTTTCTAGTGGACCGCTGACTGTGCCTGACTGTACGTCAAACATGTCTGATTGGCCAGCAAGTTACTCTGGCCGACAGTCAAACTCCAGTCAGACTCCACTGTCGGCTTTCTGATGGTTTCCTGGCGGCAGTCGGCCGCCGCGAAATGCCATCAAGATGTCTTGGTGGCGATTCTGATTGTACATCGATTGGCTCTGACTGTACGTCAAAAAAATTTGACGTGCAGACAGACGTACGGTCAAAGGACGTAGAGTTCGTTCGGATACCACTATTTCGTCAAATCTATGAATACGAAAAATAGTCTATGCACAAGAAAACGATTTCGGGACGTGAGCCCATAAAACCGCTGATGTTAGAGATATGACACGCAGCCGACCGACAACCTTGATCAGAAGCCCGCCGAAACGCCGAAAACGCCACTTCTCTTCGCCCATGAGGCTTCGCCGAGCTTTCATGAGCCTTCGACTCGTTTTGTTTGCCCGCTTGCTCCAACCTGTCGATCCTGCACGGGTTCTACAGTGTTTTATGTTTTAGTAGAATTTCTACTCGACAAGACCCAGCCTCTTGTGAGTTCCGACGATGTAAGGGACTTTAGCGGTGTAGTTGAAGACGACAAGGTGTACCAGGCCTACTGGGCCGGAGACGCGCGAACAAAAGGATCGTTCTGCGGCGCGAAAGTACTCTACATGGCAGGTGAGTAGAACTGAAGTACGGCGAGTGATGTACGAGTGCTTTGCATAACATGCTGAAATTTTAACTGCATTTGCAACCGAAGCATCTCGTATAAAACGAATGGTGAAATCGAGTTTTTTAAGCAACGGCGTAGCATAGGGGTTAAGGCGTCCGATTTGTACGCAAGTGGTCGCTAATTCGATCCGCGGTGGTGCTGCTTTTTTTTTTTTTTTTCTCGAACATTTTGTTTTATCGAGGCATTTGGCGATATTTATGAGTGCGTATAGCTTTACTCTTATATAAATGCTGCCCTTGTTGATGAAATTCCCTTGGCAGTGGCAGTCAGACGTCATTTGATGGACCATCAGATGACGTCTGATGGTCCATCACGTTCCACCAGTCAGTGTCCCAAATTACGTACCTTGATGGAATTTTCAATAGGGGAGATTGTTTGATGAAGAAGAAGGTTTTAGTTGCGACTGAAAACTAGCAATTTCACCTCCGGAAACTGCAGATATTAGATTTACGAGGGGAAAAAATACGACCAGACCGAGAATTCATTGGAGAAAAAAAGTACGACGCGGTAGAAATAGAGTGAGCGTTATGGAGGGTTGTGGCTTTGACATTCCGAAACGGTATCGCCACAATTTTGGTTGCGTCTGTAGTCTTGGTGGTCCAGAGGTGGCAATGTGTAATTCGCCTTAGTACGTGCCTGCCAGCTGTGGTCCTCGTCAGTATGACGACGTCCGCAGAATCAAGTGATCAAGTGATGTGTCTACGTATTCCACACTACTAGCAGATGGGACGGTTGTCTAGCATCCGCCACGTGGATTGGGGATGCTGCCATGAAAAGGATGTTTCTCAAAACAGTAGCAAGTTGTGGCTTTGTATCTGTCGTAGCGTTTGGGGCGGAGCTAACAATGGAGTACGTACGCACCGAAGAACTTCGGCGTAAGTAGGTGGAGAAGTGTTCAAAGATGGGCACGGTACTGTAGGTGCCTGTGTAAGCTCCGATCGGATTACATTCCAAATCTGCTGGGAAGCGTCCGTAGGTTCAGAGATGGGTGTTGCAAGGAACCGAGTAAGTTCTTCTCAGACAATTCTGCAAATTGTTTCTTGCAATGTGGTGTCATTGGGAGACAGAGAGAGGACGTTGACATCAGCAGGTGTAGCGATATTAGATGGACTACGTTGCCTGCGAGTTGCTTCGAGTGACTGGCAAATGGTCATGATTGCACGCACGTCAGCGGGAGGTTGAAGTACGAAGATATTTACGGCCTCATCCGCGATGTCCTTGAGCACATTTATAACTCTCTGAGTTTCAAGCATGTTTGGATTTATTTTTTGGCACAGGGTGAGAACATCCTCAATGCAGGATGCATATCCTTCTGTACGAAGCTGTTACCGTCTGGCTACATCACTTCAGGTCGAACGATTTTCAGGGAGGTCAGACATTTATTAATGTGATTAAAGAACGCTTCTGAAGACGGCATTTCTGCTTAGTGGTTTAGGAACCATGTCTTGGCAACATTTCTCAAATAGAAAATCACATTCGCTAGCTTTGTTGGGTCGTCCCAGTGGTTGGGCAGACTCAAACGCGCGTAGTAGAGGGATCATTCCTCAATGTCCTCATCACCAAGTCTCGAGAAGAATCGAGAATCGCGGAGCCGGGAAGGTAAGCAGACGAAGGGTACAGAAGGGTGAGTGCCGAGAATGAGAGGCGCTGGAGGCGAGAGGAGAGCCGAAGGTTCTAGGACGGATGGAATTGAGGTCTTCAAAGTTGGCGTAGAGATTGTGGGTGGTGGAGTGACTGGAGGTCTGACCCGTGAGGAAGACGTAGTTGGAACAGACGCGGATGTGGTCGCCATAATAGGCATGAGCAGAGGTCGGCCCCGGAGATCTAGATTAACACAACCGGAAGGTTGAAACGGGTGGCGTCTCCATTGGAGGCACAAGGCAGAGGAGTCACTTTTGCACCTCTGCCAAATTGTGGGGTGCTTTAGCTCTAGATCAGACATGTGCCTATCTGAAATACTCTACTCAAGATACTGTATTTCAAATACTTTTTGAAGTATCTTGGTATCTTGCAAATACTTTTAATCGAGAGTATTTGAAACTCTGCTTTAATTGCATTTCTGAGTATCTTGTACTCCTTATCTCAAATACATTTTTAACATTCCGCCATTTTCTGAGATTTTCGGTATGAAGTGGCGTGGGCGTGGTACGAGCAAACGTTAACATTCTTTCGAGCAACCAAATCCTGTTGCTAACACCGATTAGCCACGGTGAGTTTGATTGAGCTTGTGAAAACATCGCTTTTTTGCCGATTGTGGCTTATATTTCAGCCCAAAGTTCGTACAATTAAGGTTTTCCCCTCGCCTTCCCAAAGGCACCTTTTGTTTCCTAGAGTTTCCCCCAAAAAATCCTCAAACAAAAGGGGCGGTTTTACGGAAGTAAAGATCGCCACACATAGGCGCAAAGCAGACCGGGAAACGACCTGCGACAACAATGCAGACTTGAGTTTCATGAAAATAACAAACAGAAGAAAATGAAAAGTGGACGCAGACAAAAAAAAAAGAAAAGAAGACATTTTTGTTTGCTTGTTGTATGTCTGACCCCGCTACGGCAAAACGTCGAGGCTTTGTTTTGTTTCTTTTCTTTTTGTCGTCAGTCCGTCACTTATTGCTTTCGCAAACACTGTCTGTAAACGAACATTGATAACCAGAAAACAGGACACGAAATGAACTAAAAGCTGCACCCTTGCTTTAACTTCATGAGCTATATGATCTCTCAAAATGCCAACAAAGTGTCCCCCAACGTTTAGTGCCTTTCTGAACGCAACGTACTTGAAGAAGGTGCGACTTCTGCCGTGGTTATTATGTGGGTTCTCGTTGTTATCCATCTACTCAAATCCGTATCCCAAGTTCGTTTATAGTGAACTCTCCTAATAGGGAATATGGATTGTAGTTAAACGATGCGTCTAAGATGCGCCACAGGATGTGATATTCAGTGATGTCACTATTGGCAAGGCGCCCTGTCCCGTTTGTTGTCCCCACACCTCGTTGTTTACCCACCACGAGGCCTGTGCACATGCCTACAGGCCTTGTGGGAATGTCCATATCATCTTTTTCAACAGAGCGCGGGGCACAATGTAACGTAAAAATGCTAACAATAAACAAAGTGACGTTAAGTGTCGGATGTTTCTCGAAAGCAGTCGTCAGGGAATGTCAGCTTGATCCACTTCGACTTTTGTGCTGAACTGGGCACTGTGAATGGTGCATTGTTCATGCAGGCTCGAGTGGTAACAAAAGAGCCCCTCTTCCCCCCTCACTCCAGCCGAACGCTGACGCCGCGTTTGGTCATGTCAGCCTAGCACTGAATCCTTGCATTTGCTGTCGCCATTCGTGTTGTTCTAAAGCGAACCGCTTGGGGCGCCATGGTCTGACCTGCTCTCCATATTGGGGTATTGCCACGCGCGTTACAGAGCGAGCTCGTGGCCGAATGGTGTCAGCGCTTCGCTCTCGCGCGGAGGCTCCGGGTTCAATTTCAGGGAGCCGGACTGCTCTTTTATTTATTATTTCAACTTGACATTCTCTTAAGTTCGAGAACCTTGTCATCTGATCGAGTTACGAAAGTTCTACGCGCCGAACGTTCTACGCCGAATGTTCCAGAAATCCACGCGGGTGCAAAAGGTGGTCCGCGTGGCGGTCCGAAGTCAGTCTCGCCCCAGCGCTCGATCCTGCTGTTTAGCCGACATCGACGCCTGCGACGCTAGCCTTTCTCATATATTTTGTTTTGGGCTCAAGTTCGCTCCATTAAACGTTTAGTTTCTTCAGTTATTCTCCGCCTATTCATTTGTCATTCGTGGCAATATCTTGCTCCGTATAGACGTTTGCAAGCGCCGTTCCGTCGTAGCCTCGAACCGCGCGCCGAAACGACGCGCACTCTCCAACAGGGCGTTCTCTCCCCCGTCGGCGCAGCTAGCGGGGACGTCTCTCCGCATTTGCACTTCCCGGCAACATTGTGCCGTTTTGTTGACTTGACGCTCGTTGCTTGGCGTGGGGTCTGCGCCTTTTCGAAAGTTTTTTCCTCGGTGCGCCTTCTTTTCCGTCACTTCGTCCATAGTGCACGATGAATAATCCTACAAGGTCGTCAGGAGTGCACTGCGCTGTTTTCGGTTGTTCGAACAATCATCGCAAGAGGAACAATCAGAGACAGCAATTGTGCGCGGCTCACTTGCAAACGCCCTGCGAGTGTGGGATAGTTAAGTTCCACCGTGTCCCCAAGGATCCCGAACAGAAAAGAAAGTCGCTCTCCGCGCTGAACCGCAAGGACTTCAAGCCTACGGAACACACCCGGGTGAGTTCGACATATCTTTTTCACTGTCGTGATCTTTTGCGTAACGCTCCTGCCTGATTCCAGGTGTGCTCGGCGCATTTCGTGACTGGGAAAAAGACGGGCGAGGATATCGTGCCGCAGCTTAACCTCGGGTATGCGCGGAAGGTAAATATGCCACTAATCGCAATAGAGTCCCATTTCTGATACACGCAGTGTGCCCTAAACGCTTGTGCACTGACAGGTTGTCGTTGGGAGACGCCGTTTGGTGCGTGACGCAAGTGAGAAACCGCTGATCACTAAGGTAAACGTCTGCATGGCTGATTGTAGATTCTCGCTTTTAGTCTGCGACCTCAACGAATGTGATTTCCGTTGCAGAAGCAAAGACTCTCGTCACAAGCTAGCTCTGGAGCTGTAAGTTGACCCACTGCAATATAATTGTTATCGCCCGCGCTGCCACAGGGGTTGTGCCTGACACGAAGTCATATTAGCTTCAGAGCTTGAACTTCGCATGCATAGGATGTGGTGTCTAGCACTATTCTATTGCAATGACTATAAAAAGTTGCTGCATTCCTTTCAGGTCACCGACTGTACACAACCCGCCGAGCAGGTCAACGTCTCGGCCTCGACGTCACAACCAACTGCTGCTGAGCACACGGTAGGTTCAAGTTAAGCTAGAGTTGATGTGAGCAGCAGCATGATCTGCTGAATGCGATAAACATATCTTGGGTGGTAATCTATTGCACTGAGCATGCAAAGCTGATGCATTCCTTTCAGGTCACCGACTGTACGCAAGCCGTCGAGCAGGTCAACGTCTCGGCCTCGACGTCGCAACCAACTGCTGCTGAGCACACAGTAGGTTCAAGTTACGCTAGAGTTGACGTGAGCAGCAGCATGATCTGCTGAATGCGATAAACATACCTTGGGTGGTAATCTATCGCACTGAGCATGCAAAGCTGATGCATTCCTTTCAGGTCACCGACTGTACGCAAGCCGCCGAGCAGGTCAACGTCTTGGCCTCGACGTCGCAACCAACTGCTGCTGAGCACACAGTAGGTTCAAGTTAAGCTAGAGTTGACGTGAGCAGCAGCATGATCTGCTAACTGCGATAAACGTATCTTGGGTGGTAATCTATCGCACTGAGCATGCAAAGCTGATGCATTCCTTTCAGGTCAACGTCTCGGCCTCGACGTCACAACCAACTGCTGCTGAGCACACAGTAGGTTCAAATTAAACTAGAGTAGATGTGAGCAGCAGCATGATCTGCTGAATGCGATAAACATATCTTGGGTGGTAATCTATCGCACTGAGCATGCAAAGCTGATGCGTTCCTTTCAGGTCACCGACTGTACGCAAGCCGCCGAGCAGGTCAACGTCTCGGTCTCGACGTCACAACCAACTGCTGCTGAGCACACGGTAGGTTCAAGTTAAGCTAGAGTTGATGTGAGCGGCAGCATGATCTGCTGAATGCAACAAACATGATCGCATGCGCATCACTACTGTGTGATGCACGATAGTAGTCTCAGGCTGGCAGTTGTACTGCAGTGACTAAATTGATCAGCGACGGCTTGGATCAGGTTGCCATACCCGGCAGACCGACCTCGCGCTGTCTAAACCCCCAAACGTCCAATTTGAATTTTTTTTTGTGGTAAGGGGAACATTTTCATATACCAAAATATGTAAAGCTACAGCCCAAGTACTTCCAGCAAAATGACTACCTACCGAACGTTGCCAGTAACTGCTTTTATAGCTTTCAATGGAGACGCCGGCACTGCTGGGGAGCTCTGTACAAGCAACCTCGGAGAGTGGCTCCTTGTAGTCTTGCCGCCTTAGCAGTTCAATGAGCCTCAGCAATGCTAAAGCTTGTTTAAACAATCTTTCTTTGGTGGTACACTGGCTGCCATAGACGCCCAAACGCTCCGATTGAGCTTTGATTTATAGTGAAATGAGGAGTAGCATAAATTGAGGAGGTTGTCACTTTAAAGAAACAGGGGACGGGGTGATCGAGAAAATACGAAAGAAAATAAGATTATTCATGGCACAGTCGAAGCCAAGAGCATGAATAAATGATCAGGGTTTCATCCCTTGCATAGGGCGGAATAGCAGAGCTAAAACCATATTCCTGCGGGGCACGCCAAACCTCTAGCTTAACTCTCAACGCGGCGGTAGCAGAGAACGCTGTAGCAGACGACGCGAGCAGCAAGATCCGACTGCAGCACCGTTAGTTCTCGTGACCGCCGCCCGTGCCACTCGCCTCCGCAGGCGAGAATGGGGAGCTGTGAAACCGAGCTTGCTCCAGTAACGTTGCTTATGGCTGCCCGTTGCCTGACCATTGTTGCCGGCCGCATTTTCCAACATCTTTCAACATCGTCAGGGCAGCGTCTCGTGGTTGCGAAGAGCAATTTCGGAAAGGGTCTACTTTCAGTACAGTGCTCCCCTCTTTGTCCTCCTTGGTTACGTCACCACACCCGTGACTTGGAAGAGAGTGTGAAAGTTGAGGGGTGCAACACACATGAATATGTTTTATTTTTAAATAATAAAAACAAACACACAGAAACAAAGAATATTTTGTTATCCATCTGTTGTATGGCCCCTTTAAACTAGTTACTTTACTTCTATGACTATTAAACATGATTCGAGACAATTTAAGCACAGGCTTTTTCATTTTTGCACCACTTCGATATTTGCTATTTCTCTTTGTACTGAATATTGTTCAGTTGCTCTCCAACAGAAGCAGCCTACTTTTTCAATTGATAAACTCTGATTTTGTTCACAGACGACTGATCACGGCCAAGTTCGCCCGGATGTGTGCCACCAGGGGATCCAGTGGGAAGACCCGTGTCTTTGCGACCATGCCTACTCGAGGCCCACTGCTCCAACTGCGACGTTTGGTCCTCATGGTGGTCGTAGCATTGAGGCGCGGGACATTTTCTTTTATACCGGTCTGCATGCAGATGTCTTTATGGAGCTGGTGAAAGTTGTACCAGAGTTTGCGACCACAAACTTCATGATGTCAGTAGAGCAGCAAGTTTTACTAACTCTGATGAAGTTGAGGCTGGGCCTTGTCTATGGCGATTTGTCTAGGAGGTTTGGGGTTTCAGTTTCCACCGTAGGCAACATTTTCCGTGCCATGCTTGCCACACTTGGGCGGATCCTAAGGAATGTTGTTGTGTGGCTCTCGAGAGAGACAATCTTCAGGAATGTTCCGCAGTCCTTTGAGGAGAATGGTTTTGCAGGCACTACTTGCATTTTGGATTGCACTGAGGTGTTCTTGCAGCGACCAAAAAAATTGCTCGCTCGAGCACAGACCTACAGCTCATACAAAGGCCACAACACTGTGAAGTTTTTGGTGGCTATTGCACCCCACGGATCAGTGATGTTTGTGTCCAAGGTGTACGGTGGACGAGGGTCTGACAAGCATATTGTGAGAGACTCGGGAATTATTTCCTACTTTCAACACGGTGATCAGGTGATGGCCGACAGGGGCTTTTCCCTCGATCCCGAAATGGAAGCAAAGGGTGTAGTACTCAATGTGCCAGCCTTTACTCGAGGGAAGCTTCAGCTGTCAGAACGAGAAGTGACAGAGACCAGAAGGATTGCGTCTGTTCGCATTCATGTAGAACGGGCAATAAATAGGATCAAATCCTACAGGATTCTGAAACAGGCACTGCCCATCCAGCATCGAAAGGTTGCAAATGAGATAGTCTATGTATGTGCAGGGCTGTGCAACCTAAAGGGACCTTTGATCAAGAAGTGAGCTTTTTTCTTGAGAATTCTGGAGCAGTAAGGTCTGCATGGCGTACCAGTTCCGAGTTATCACTTCTCTATCCTAGAAGCAATTGAAACTTCTACAAAACTGTATGCATGGAACTTTTCTTTTGTAATTGTCACTTCTTGCATTGCTTTTTTCGCCCCAGAGTTCCTTTAGATTACATTGATCTACACTATGTGAGTGTTTTTTATTCAGTATTCATACATTTGAAACATACTTTAACACTACATGCTCTCGCATAACACAATGGCCTTCAAACCCAAGCTACAAACACGCCCTGCATAGACTCCAAATGCTATGCGCATACCCCTTCTAGTAAAAGTGGCTAGCAATATTTTGTCAGATAACCCAAGTTCAGTTCCGCAATCTTGTCTGTTCTTTTTTTAGTAATGTGTTACTATTTTTTCGGGCATGTTCCTACCGCTACCTTACGCAGGTCCAAGAGTCAACTGTGTATTTCTGTTGTGTATTAACGATTGCACATCTGCCAAGATTGCATATTTTTCATTATCTTTTGTGAAGGTGTTGTGTGGATAGAGCTAGAGGGCCTGTCATAGTCACAGCATTGTGCTTGAAACTGTTTTTTCTTTTTAATTTCTTGTTTCCCCTCTTACCTGAAAACTGTTGTACAAGCATGGCCCCGATTAGTTCAGCCAGTCGTGGCTAACAAACAGTGGCTTGACTTGTGTTAAATAATAGATTTTAAAGTAATAAGCCATGGTGAAATAACAAACTACTCAATCAATACCACTGAAAACCATGGATAAGCGAAGCATCACACACATTGTATTGCACAAAACGACACAGTACACTGACCTGCCCAATCACATCTGTGCAAGCTGCTTGTACACATTTGAGAGTGAAATCTTTCCAGAGTTGGTGTCATCAACAAATGCCGGCAAAAGGCTCTTAAAGTAGAAGTTTCTGACCCTTGGCAGGTGGCAGTTCGTAAAGTCCTTGCTGTATTGCACAACTGCAACCTCGTCGTGACCTTCGGATCACACATAGAAGTGACAGACGAGCTTGCCAGTGCAGTGCATCGCAAACTGAACCTGGTGGTAGTACTTATTTTTTCCTTTGGGGTTCAGCACGAAAACCCCATTGCCATTCTTGCGGACATCATAGGTTCCAGATTCTAGTAACGCTGAGCAATTTGGTACATTAGGACACTTTATCTCCAGAAGAGCATCAAGTTCATCGATGATTCCATCAGGGCTGGCTGCAAGCCATGGCAGCTCAGGACAGACCACCAGTCCTACTTGTCGAACAGCACAGTTGTATCTGTGCATGAACTTGCTCTTAGCTTTGGGTTCGCTGCGGCGGCCATGCTCGGTTGCTTTGTTCCCTCGAAAAGTCGGGTGAAGAATGTCCTGCACAGCTTAAGAAGGGTTGGTTGATGCCCTCATAGGTACCTTTTTTATCATGGACGATGTTAACCGCATGCGGCGGCTCTCGTGCCAGGATGTGCAGTTGCCTTGCTCTGCTGTTCTTTTGCAGAGTAGGTCCATGGCAGGTGCATGGATGGCTACAAGCTCGTTGTATGCCTTTGAGCATGGCGGAACAGCTGTTGGGAAGGGTCGTTGCATCTTCATGGCTGCTGTGACCGAGTGAAGGCATT